AGGTTGCCAGTAGCTTCTCAGTACCGCGCCGTGTTGCGGAAGCACCCCTTGTTGATCCCTCCAGCGAGGGCACCCAGCTGGCCCTGTGCGTCCGACCTGGTGCAGGGCCGCGACGTGGCACAGGATCCTTCGGAGCGGGAGTACTGGTGCCTTGAATGCAGCTGCAAGGGCAGCCACTGCCGGTCCTCTGGATTGACGTCGGTCAGCAGGTTGCCCCGCAGATCGCTGCTGCTTACTCTCTCCAGGGTTAGGATCATCTGGGCTCTTCCTTTTCTTCTTCTTGGGTTTTGACTGACCAGGACCAAGCGATGGACTTGGTGAATCCGAAGATGGGGGAGCATCGATAGGCGCCTCTGGCTTCGGCTGCGGATCTGCCTCAGCAGCGGCCCCTGCCGGCACCCGCGGCCCACGTCGCACGGGGCCCCGGCTAGGGTTCAAGTCGATGCCACTTGGCATTCTGAGGGCCAGGTTCTTAACAGTGGTCTTTTGATCCCCTACAAGAAGGTCTTTTGATCCCCTACAAAAGGCATTTGGTGGCGCTGGGCCTTTTTGCTATGCATGTCTTTACCCAGCCTGCACCTTCAGCGCGGTAAGCAATCCGCCTTTCAGAGGAAAGACCCATCGCCTCAGTAACAACGTACCTACGATCATTCGACGCGTTCGTCTTGCACGCGGCGCCCGTAACAATGGAGTCGTCCGACGCGCACCTACAGGGGCCGCGTCCGTGGGGTCAACTTGTTCGGCCATCTCATCATCTTCATCTTCACCAGCTTCTTGTTGTTCATCTTCTTCTGATCTAGGATCAGCAGGTTTCCCCGCGTGTCCCGAGTGCCAGTCTCGATTGAACTGCTTCAGATAATGTATGAGGGTTAAAGTGTTCCACATCTGAATAGATGGGGATATCTCACCGTGCGTCTGTGGCTTGGTCGTAGTCGTCTTCCGTCGACGGCCTCTTATGTGGCGTTTTCTTGGAGTCGGTGCAGTGCCCTCGACCATCGCCATGGGACCAAACCCAAGGTGTCCTCTTGAAGTTCGGGCCCCTTGATGGGCGTCTCATGGGGCAGACCGGCCCGCGGTCTGCATGGGCGGGGCATGTGCAACAAACACCTCCATAGAGCTTCCTTTCCTCGATGACAGCTCTCTTGTGATCGCGCTTGACAGAATTCTCTTGTGTTTTAACAGGCCCAGTCCTGTTCGAGCGAATGATATTGCCGTCTTCACCTCGTGTAATATTGCGAAGATAATGCCAGTGACGGATCTGATATTCAGTCCAACCCTGGCCCCGCCAATGCTGCATTGTTTCTGGGGGTATGTATTGACAAGCCAATCCAGCTTCCGCGCAACCAACCAGGCGCTGATTTCCGCCATCTGGGCGTCCTTCTTGCGGCTGGTCATCTCGAGGCGGGCGCCCCCGCAAGCGCTCCCTCCCCCGGGGGGGGGGGGGGGGGGGTCCATCGGCGTGCCGTGGCGGGGCCTTTGGAGTTCCCGCGCCAGGAAGATGGGGGCGCTGAAGACCACTAGAGCGAGCGCCACTGGAGCGAGCACGCGCACGATCAGGTTGGCGGCTGGGGAACCGACCGCGACGTATCATGCGGCCGCTATCTGCCCATTCTTCGTTCTCGTCGTCGTCGCGGTACTTTGTCCTCCAGATCTGGCGGCTTCCTGGTCGCTTCTGGCGGCTCATGGACCGATCTGAAACAACCAAAATATATGGACATTCTTCAGTATTACCAAGCTCGCGTTGAATGCGCTCAGATAAATCACTAGCGTCTCGCGGGCTTCCCAGCGCAGGATGATTTATCACTTAATCCCAAGTCTGTCGGATGTCCAATAACCCGAAGATCAAGCGCCAACTGTATTTCCTCATCTGTTGCAAGAATGGTAACTTCTGGGTCCGCGGGTGTCTCCGCCACGTCAGCATCTCCTCCGGCGGGCATGTGGAAGTTCTTGACAAATTCGATATCTGCAGGTTGCCCCGCGATGGGCAATGCCCAGCCATTCTGCCAAGCCGATGTCGTTGCGGCCAGTGAACGCCTCCTCGAACAGATCGCCGGCGTAATTCGAGGGTCATACTGGCGCCGAGATATCTGGCAGCCATGAAATTAACAACTGTGGCTGATGGATCGGCAGGGCCAGCTAGAAGAGACTCCCAGTCAGCATGCTGTATGCGGAATCTGCTTGAGCCAGATGTATTGACGGACCCCTGCCTCTTCCATCACCTTGAGGGCATTCGCGTCGGAAATGCGGCGTACTGTGGGATATGTCGCACTCCATCGTTTTACCGTTGGTATCCTTTGGGTTCCCCCGTCGCCCCATGCCTTATCCCGATGCACACCTGCGGTTTTTGCCAATACCTAAAAACATGTCTGCGTACTGCGGTCCAGTAAGAAATGCTAAGAATGCTAGTGGGCCTCTACCATGCAATCTCCGACGCTTACCTTTACCTTTACTTCGACCTTTGCCCTTTCCATTGGGTGATCGTCGTGCCGGACTTTTTTCTTCGTGAACCTTCGCCAGCGACGCTTGTGGTTTTGGTCGCCTGAAAATGACCATTGCGCTTGTTGCTATTCAGTAAGGTATGTAGGCGTATCCGAGTAAGCAAGGGCTGTAGCGTCATCGTCTGAAGACGTATCGGTATCAGTACCGGAGTCAAAGTCGGACTCGGCGGGTTGCCCCGCTGAGCCCATTCGGGTCGTGGCATGCATGGGGGATGCCGCATCAGGCGGTCCCCGAAGCCTGGCCCAAGAGTCTTGCGACCCCGAGGCCGCTCCACCATTCTGAGCCAGCAGTGTTGTGGTCTCAGCTGGTTGTGGATAGCCTCCACGTGGAAGGTCTCGGTTCGGTGACCGTGACTAAAGATACCACCAATATTGCCAGGGGTTATCTCAGCAATGTGAGCACATGGCCTCATACGTTCAAGTAGAGCGTCACATTGTTGTTGGTCTCTCGGCATGTGGTGGTTCAGAGGCTGCAGGAGTTGTTGTGCACGCGATGTCCCCACTCCAGGAGCTCTGAATATAATCGCTGCTAGGATTTGGAAGTTGGGGATGTTGAAGCCTGCTGTTTCAGCTTCATAGCGGGTTATCTCAAAACGTGCTAACGTCTGGTCGATGCGTTCTCCCGCCTGGACTCGGAAGTCAATGAGCGCAGTACCAGAGTTGAATTGGCGCTCCTCTTCTAAATTCTCGAACTTCGTGCTTAAGAGGAACATGATGTAAGTGACGCCGTCAGTATGGCGGCCACGGATGTTGACGCCAAAGTTGATAACTGCTGGAGGGACTCCTCATGGCTATGGTCCGTGCGAGACCTCCCAAACCTCGCTGCAGAGCTGCAGCCTGTTGGGAGGGCGTCATGTTGCCTGTGGTCACATTGATCCAGGCATGTACTTCGATCACGAATTCGCGACAAGGTACTTGACCGGCTGGGTCCCAGTGAGGGCCGGTCGTTCGTGTGTCGTCTCCGCCACGCATATGTCCTACCGCAAACCCGATAGCGACCCAGGTGGGCCCAAATATAGTAACACCAGTCCAATGGCCTCGTAGGTCGTAGTCGGATGTAATCGGTTGGGACTTCCATTGGGTAGTCGTAAGTCTGCGTGGGGTTGGAGACGGCAGTACATCATATCGCATGTTTCCATGCATTATATCATCGAAGAAATTTCCACTTGGAGTAGGTGGGTGGACTTCAGGAGTGTAGAAACGCAGGGATGTAGGATGTAAGTAAGAGGCCTCCGCTTGAGCAGAGGTATCGCTGCAAGTGTCCTTGCGATATTGCGTACCGATATACATTCTTCCGCGCAAACCCACTGCCCCCTGATGTTCCACCATGTCCGTAGTCGCGATATTGCGTACCGATATACATTCTTCCGCGCAAACCCACTGCACCCTGATGTTCCACCATGTCCGTAGTCCACCATATAGTGCCATGGGTGGTGAAGAATAAAGCAAGAGCTGACCACCATAGGCCAGCTCCGCTACCAAGTTTGAAAGGGGGCTGGGAGGCCCAGCCAGCAGCTTCGCCTTAGGCGAAGCCAAGCTCCCGCTCTGTTGTACCGTAGCAACGGTAGTCCCAGTGGGAGAGGATGTGCCATCTTAAGCACTAGGAGTATCCTTTTAGTCTCGATAGCGACTGTGTGCCTCGCGGTGAGGCACAATCATATTTGGGCGGCCGGCCGCTTGAGCCGACGAGGCCGCGGGCGCACGCTCGCTTCCACCCCTTACGTCCCTCAGCTCGCTTTAGTCCCCCAGCGACCAGGAAGGGTCCAGCGCCCTACACACATGGATCGTTGCAGTGTCCCAGACACCCGGCGTCATGATTTTTTCAAAACGCCGACCCCCAAGGGTCTGGACCCTTTCCTCAGGACTGGAATCGATGTTTCATGGCCCCGAGGCCCCGGAAGGGCCCCCAGAGGCCGGTAGTGGTGAAACACCTCCTGTCGTGATTGTTTTTTTGCAGCGCGGGGAGGTCTGGGGTGTCTCCCGCAGGAGAAGGTCAAAAGCTGCAGCAGGCGAGGCGTATCAGCTATCTGGCGGGCGCGGTGGCCTCGAGGAGTGGCGGTGGCACCCCGGCTGGCAGCTCGCGTCGTGCTCATTCCCCCTCCGCCTCCCCCTTGCCTCCCTCTGCTTTTCCTTCCCGTCCTCTTCCTTCTCCTCCTCCTTTTTCTCCTCATCCTCCTCCTCACACGTTCCCTCCTCGCCGCGCCCCTCCTCAATCTACTCCTCCCTCTCCTCCTTCTTTTCCCTTCTTGCTACTTCTGCTCCCTTCGTTTACTATCTCCTCGTCCTTACCCTCCTCTCTTCATACTCATCCCCCCTTTCTTAACGTTCCCCTTCTCCTCTCCTTCCACTCCGCCTCTCCTGCTACCAATGCGGCGCCGCCGTGGGGAACCTGTCAGCGCCTTGCCGTTCCGAAAAAAAACACGAGGCCTTCGGACAAGAACGAAAAGGATTAACACGCTGACGGGCTCCCAACGGCGGCGCATCGACGTCCCGGCCCCTGTCCTGCTTCCGCCGCTGCACCGCGCTGACCTTCAGGGCCTCCAGCTGGTGCGCGCGGCTGAGCCGCTTGAGCCGCAGGTGTTCTGACATGGACTTCAGTTTCGGCAGGCGCCACGCCTTCTCGGCGACGGCGCGCGCGGCGGCGGCAGGACGGCAACGCAGACCAGGCGCGAAGGACGACGTCGGCGATCGACGAGGGTGATGATCACTGAAACGGCGACGCGGACGACGGGGACGACGACGACGACGACGACGACAACGACGATGACTACGACGACGACGACAACTGTGACGACGGCGACGACGACGACGGCGACGGCGACAGCGGCGGCGGCGGCAGCGGAGGAAAACGTGGCGACGAACAGCGGCAACGACGGCGACGAGCGGAGGTAGCGGACAAGCGGCGGCAGCGAGGGCGAAGCGCGGCGGTAGCGACGGCGACGAGCGGCGGCGACGGGGCCGAGCGGCCTTCTCCTTGCTCAGCGCCGCGCCCGGCTCTGGCGGCGGTGGCGGCTCGCTGACGCAGCGCCGCAGGTCGTCGCCGGCCATCCGCCACACCGAGCGCCGCAACGAGTTGGGCAACCTCGTCGTCGTCAGCATCGTCGTCCTGTCGCCGCCGCCGCAAAAGGGCTCCGAATGTATATTTCGACGTTCGAATTTGTGCCCCAATCGGTGCTTGCACTGAGAGGGGTTCCTTGCGAACGTTGTGAGTTTTTGGCGTAAAGGTATCCTGGCGAAGGACCCAATCATCTGCAGTTGTGAACACCTCGTTGTGGTTACCGCGTTCGGTGGAGCTCCCTGTGGGGCCACGAAGCGTGCGAGGGAGTGCCGTAACGGTGGTGGTCGGGAGCGCATGCGAACTGTGCCGCTGGGGCCCCAGATAGAGCCCCCTCCGGGGCCACGGATCTTGCGACGGGTGTGCCGAAAGTGGTGGCGGGGGCGCATGCGAACGGCACCGCTGGGTCCCTGGGTGGAGCTTCTTATGGGCCCACGAAACGCGTGATGGGTGTGCCGAAATGGACGGCGCAGACGCATGCGAGCTGCGTCATTGGGACCTTCAGTGGAACTCCATGTGGGGCCACGAAACGTGTGAGGGGTGTGCCGAAATTGGTGGCGGGGACGCATGCGAACGGCACCATTGGGGCCTTTGTGTTGAGCTTCTTATGGGGCCACGAAGCGTGCGAGCGGTGTGACGAAATTGGTGGCGGGGGCGCACGCGAACTGCACCATTGGTGCCTCTTGGTGGAACTCTCTACTCTATTGGGCCACGAAGCGTGCGGTGTGTGTGCTTACAACGGTAGCGGGACGCATGCGAACGGCACCATTGGGGCCTTGCGTGGAACTATCTATGGGGCCACGAGGCGCGAGGGGTGCGCCAGCATGGGTGGCGGGGGCGCGTGTGCGAACGGTACAATTTGGCCTTGGGTGGAGCTCCCCATGGAGCCACGGATCATGCGACGGGTGTGCCGGAATTGGTGGCGGGGGCGCATGCGAACGGCACCACTGGGTCCTTGGGTGGAGCTTCCCCACGAAACGCGTGATGGGTGTGCCGAAATGGACGGCGCAGACGCATGCGAGCTGCGTCACTGGGACCTTCTGTGGAACTCCAAGTGGGGGCGCGAAACGTATGAGGGGTGTGCCGAAATTGGTGGCGGGGACGCATGCGAACGGCACCATTGGGGCCTTCGTGTTGAGCTTCTGATGGGGCCACGAAGCGTGCGAGCGGTGTGACGAAGTTGGTGGCGGGGGCGCACGCGAACTGCACCATTGGTGCCTCTTGGTGGAACTCTCTATTGGGCCACGAAGCGTGTGGTGTGTGTGTGTGTGCGCTTACAAAAGGTAGCGGGACGCATGCGAACGGCACCATTGGGGCCTTGCGTGGAACTATCTATTGGGCCACGGAGCGTGCGAGGGGTGCGCCAGCATGGGTGGCGGGGGCGCGTGCGAACGGCATAATTTGGCTTTGGGTGGAGCTCCCTATGGGTCCACGGAGCGTGTGAGGGGTGTGCCGAAATTGGTGGCAAGGACGCATGCGACTGGCACCATTGGGTCCTTGGGTGGGGCTTCTTATGTGGCCACGATGCGTGTGAGGGGTGTGCCAGAATGGGTGGCCGGGACGCATGCGGACGGCGCCAATAGGGCCTTAAGTGGGGACCCTTTTTGGGCCACGAAGCACTGTGCCCGAATTGGTGGCGGGGACGTGTGCGAACGGCACCACTGGGGTCTTGGGTGGCGCTCCCCATCGGGCCACGAAGCGTGTGAAGAGTGCACCAACATCGGTGGCGATGACGCATGCGAACGGACCACTGGGGGTTTGGGTGGAGTTCCTTATGGGGCCACGACACGTGTAATGGGTGTGCCGAAATGGGCGGCGCAGACGCATGCGAACGGCACCACATGGGGCCACGAAGCGTGTGAGCGGTGTGCCGACATGGGGTGGCGGGGGCGCGTGCGAGCGGCGCCATTGGGGCCTTGGGTGGAGTTCCCCATGGGGTCACGAAGCGCGTGGTGTGTGTGTGTGTGCTATAACGGGTGGCGGGGACGCATGCGAACGGCGCCGCTGGGGCCTCGGGTGAAATTCTTTATGGGGCCACGAAGCGTATGAGGGGCGTGCCGAACAAGGACATGCGGAGGACAGAGGCAGGGATGGAAGGAGGGAGGGGGGAGAAAGAAGGAGGAAGCGCGGCTGTGTCTTCAGAGCGAGGACCCGACACCACATGAAGTGAAGTACGCAACCAAAGGAACTCACGCACTTGCGCGAAAGCTTGGGTCATCGTTTCGTGTGTGCGTTGTGCCTTGATTTCTGCGCGTTCAGTGTGAACGCATCTTTCCATGTGTTCATCCCGCGCGCCATTACTTGACCTCTTCCCCCTCCCATCCTTTTTCCTCCAGCGGGACAAGGTGCGATGTGGTCACCGAGGGCCGTTTCCTGACGCGTAACAAATCATGCGCGACAGTGCTACGTCGCGATTAGTTGACGGGTCATATGTGGAAGTTTGCGCGCGTCGGGCCCCAGTACCTCGGGAGCTTCGGCACCAGTGTGCGGGGGGGGGATGGGTAGGTATTTTGCCAGATAATCACCCTCTACGCAGACGACCAGCATCGAGCCCGGCTGCGCAAGTCCCTGCGCGGGATACGAGACATGAGTGGGCCCTTCCTCCATTCCCTGCTGCCGCTTCCTCCCTCGCCCCTTTTCCCCCCATCCCTTTCCAATTTTCAGATCGGCCAACTTTTTCTTTCGCGTTCCACGTCTCTCCTTGCGTCTCTTCGACGGAAGGTCTCTGGGTTGCGCGTGCAAAGGAACGACGGGTAAATATCAGCCGCCTGCGCAACGCGTGCGGGAGTGCCCTTCGATGGAAAAGCTCCGGGCTACAGCTCGTACGAGGACATGGCCAAGAGCTCTGATCTCGTCAAGGAGCGGCCAAGGAGCGGCGCGGGCCATGCAAATTCGAATCGGCTGGGCAATGCTGCCTCTGTTGGAAAGACTCCAGCGCCCCGTTCCGTCGGAGCAGCGCGGGCCTCTCAACTGAGGCCATCCAGAGCGCGCGGACCCAATTCACCTCTGCGGCCATTTTAAACATGCGCGGGCCCGTGCGCTCCAACGACCTCACGCCGCCGGCAAAAATCCATTGGCATTCCAGTGCGTGGTCCTCGATCTCCCGCGTATCCTTGGCCATGTGCTCTTCGAGCTTCTGGGAGGCTGTCAGCGCGGACCGAGGTGGGCCGATCTGCAAGACCTCCCTCGGCGGCGGCTGAAGCAAGAGTATACCGTCCATGCGAGTGTCTCTGCTGAGCAACGCGTACAGGTGCAGCCACCGATTCTCCGCTCTGTCCTCCGGTCAGCCATTGCTCGCACCCTGCGCGCAGTCGACGGTCACCCAGGTGCGGATCGTCTGGCCCTGTGAAGCGATGGACGTCAGGAAACGCCAGTGCGTGAGCGCGTATCCATACATTTTAACCCGGTGCGTTTTGCCAGCGTTTTGCCGCTTGAAATGCGCCTCCATGAGCAGGAAGCATGACAGGCCGCTCGCCTTCTCTTCCTGGATTCCGAAAGAGTTGATGAGGGCGGCGACCATGTCTGGGCTTTGCTTCTGGAACTTGCGCACCTGCACCCAGGCACGCGTCGTACCTCTCCTGGTCGCTGCTCTCGAACACGAAGCTCACGATGGGGGCGTTCTGCTCCTGGCTCCTGGCTCCTAGCGTGGATACAGACCGCGCTCAGGGACCAACCCGTGCGCAACCCCACCGGTGCCGAGGAATTGCCACGCCTGCCACGCCCTGCCACCCAGGCGTGGACAAAGACCGCGCTCAGGGACCAACCCGTGCGCGCCACCACTGGTGTCGAAGCCATGCCACGCCTGCCACACCCTGCGTCCCTGGCGTGGATAGAGAGTGCGTTCAGGGACCCCCCCCGTTGCGCACCCGTTCTGGTGACGAGGACGTGCCACACCTGCCGCGCCCTGCGACCCTGGCGGGGATAGAAGCCGCGCTCACGGACCACCCCTTGCCACCCCTAGGCGCCCCCGTTGGTATCGAGGAATTGCCTCGCCTGCCACACCTTGCAACCCTGGCGTGGATACAGACCGCGCTGAGCGACCACCCCCTGCGCACCCCATCTGGTGTCGAGGAATTGCCACGCCCTCACGCCCTGCGACCCAGGCGTGGACAGAGACCGCGCTCAGGGACCAACCCGTGCGCGCCACCACTGGTGTCGAAGACATGCCACGCCTGCCACACCCTTTGTCCCTGGCGTGGATAGAGACTGCGTTCAGGGACCCCCCCCTTTGCGCACCCGTTCTGGTGACGAGGACGTGCCACACCTGCCGCGCCCTGCGACCCTGGCGGGGATAGAAGCCGCGCTCACGGACCACCCCTTGCCACCCCTAGGCGCCCCCTTTGGTATCGAGGAATTGCCTCGCCTGCCACACCTTGCGACCCTGGCGTGGATACAGACCGCGCTGAGCGACCACCCCCTGCGCACCCCATCTGGTGTCGAGGAAATGCCACGCCCTCACGCCCTGCGACCCAAGCGTTGATAGAAACCGCGCTCAAGGACCACCCCCTGCGCACCTTCTCTGGTGCCGGGGACATGCCACGCCTGCCACGCCCTGTGACCCTGGCGTGGATGGAAACCGCGCTGAGCGACCACCCCTTGCGCACCCCCTTTGGTGTCGAGGAACTGCCACGCCTGCCACGCCTTGAACCCTGGCGTTGGTAGAAACCGCGCTCAAGGACCAACCCTCCGGTGTCTAGAAAATGCAGCACCTACCACACCCTGCGATCCTGGCGTTGATAGAGACCGCGCTCACGAACCACCCCCTGTGCACCCCCTCTGGTGACCAGGAAGTGCCACGCCTGCCAAACCCTGCGACGCTGGCGTTGATAGTCACCGCGCCCAAGGACCACCACCCCCTGCCACTCCTAAGCAACACCTACCTCTGGTATCGAGGAAGTGCCACGTCTGCCAATCCCTACGACCCTGGCGTGGATAGAAGCCGCGCTCACGGACCATCCCGTGCGCAACCCCACCGGTGTCGAGGTAATGCAACGCCTGCCACGCTTTGAACGTCGGCGCGGATACAGACCGCACTGTGCACCCCCTCTGGTGTCGAGGAACTGCCACGCCTGCCACACCTTGCGACCCTGGCGCGGATAGAGACTGCGCTCAGGGACCAACCCGTGCGCACCGTCTCCAGCGACGTGGAACTGCCACGCCTGCCACGCCCTGCCACCCTGGCGTGGACAGAGACCGCGCTCAGGGACCACCCCCTGCGTACCCCATCTGGTGTTGAGGGAATACCACGCCTTCATGCCCTGCGACCCTGGCGTTGATAGAAACCGCGCTCAGGGACCACCCCCTGCGCACCCCCTCTGGTGTCGAGGAACTGCCACGCCTGCCACGCCCTGCAACCCTGGCGTGGATAGAGACCGCGCTCGGGGACCATCCCTCTGGTGACCCTACGACCCTGGCGTGTATGGAAACCGAACTCAGGAACCACCCCTTGCGCCCCCCCCACTGGTGACGAGAACGTGCCACGCCTGTCACTCCCTACGACCCTGGCGTGGATAGAAACCGCGCTCATGGAGCCCCCCCTCTGCGCAGCTCCTCTGTCGTCGAAAACATGCCACGCCTGCCACACCCTGCGACCCTAGAGCGTATAGAGACCGCGCTCAGGACCCCCCCCTGCGCACCTCCTCTGGTGTCGAGAGAATGCCACGCCTGCCACGCCCCGCGACCCTGTGAGGGATGGAGGCCGCGCTCTTGGACGATTGGCGCGTATAGAGACCGCGGTGAGGGAATCCTATGGCTGTATCTGTATTTAGGTCCACGGAACCGTGTGTGTGTGTGTGTGCGTGTGAGTCATGTGTTGTGCGGTTGTATGTGTGTATCTGTAGGATGTATGTATGTGTGTGCGGCTGCATGTGGACGTGTGCTCATGTGGATATCGTGCGTGTGATGCATGCGCCTGTTGATGTGTGCGCGAGCGAGAAGGATGGTGAGGGGTGTGAGACGAGGGTGCGACGCTGGTGGGCCATAACCCCACTTAACATGTGGGGGATCAAAAACAAGTCGATTTCGGTGGGCGGCCGGGTTCCACACTTCCGTCGTCACCGTCGTCGTCATCGTCGTCGTCGTCGTCGTCGTCGTCGTCGTCGTCGTCGTCGTCATCGTTGCGGTCGTGGTCGCCGAGGCTCGAGGATCGAACGTCGAGATTACTTTTGGGATGTGTTCGGCGCCTTCTGGGCCTTCAGAAGCCTCTGGTGACCTTGAAAAACGTCCAGAGGCCTCCAGAGGCTCGAGGAGGCCGTCGGGGTCGTCGTGGTCGTCGTCGTCGTCGTCGTCGTCGTCGTGGTGACGGCCCGACGAACCCCATGTTCGGTCCCCAGGGGCCGAAAACTGTCAAGAGCTATATGACCTTCTCACCACGCGAGAAGGCTTGGCACAGTGCACGCACGTCTAGTTCCCAAGGGGGTGGCACGGAGGAACTTTTGGGCCTGCCCGCTCCAACTGGGCGAAGTCCGGGGCCCCTCACCCCCCTGCCGCGCCTCCCGCGAAGGCTCCTCACGGTCGCTCCTGAGCAGAAGCACCTCCAGAAGCATCGACCAGTGTTGGACGAGAACGCGCTCACCAGTTCAGCGGTATTCTCCTTCGAATGATGCGGTGTGTACGTGAAAAAAACGCGAGAAGTATGGGGGCGCCGATCTTCTGTGTCCCGCAGGGCCTCCCCCCCTTTTCGGCCCCGCCGCACCCTGCCAAATTTCATTTTCCGATGCGGCCCCCAGGGCCGAAACCTGCCGAAACGAATACGTTTTTATCACGCGAGGAAGCTGGGGCCGCCGATCTTCTGCGCCCCGCCGGGCCTCTTCCCTTATTCGGCCCCGCCACGCCCTGCCAAACCCCCTATGCGGCCCTCAGGGCCGAAGACTGCTGAAGCGAATATTTTTTTATCACGCGAAAAATCAGGCGAAGCGAGTAGAGGACGCACAATCCCCCCCATAAGAATCACCCCGACAACCGATGCCGTTTGATAAACGCACCCAAGAAAGAATCGAACAGGGCAAGGCTGTTTGGTAAAAGCCCAGGGCCGTTCAGTAAACGTCAGAAACTGTTGGGTCTAGGTGGTTTTCCCTTGGGCCGCCGATCTTCTGCGCCCCGCCGGGCCTCTCCCAGAAGCCCAGCCAGCCCAGGGCCGGCAGCACGTCGCGGAGGGCGCCCGCGGGGGCGCGCTCGCGTCGGACGTGCGCCAGCAACGCGGCGCAGAGCTTGCGCTTCAGCCGGCCCGTGCAGAAGCCCAACAGGTACACGGCCCAGATGCAGGACAGCACCTCCGGGGAGGCTTCTCTGCGCGGTGAAGACTTATCCATCACCACCGCCTTCGGGGATCGGTCTGCGGGGGCTCGGCAGCCGGTGGATGCGGTGGGCATATTCTGGCCCGAGGGGCCAACATCCAGGACATTACTTCCAGGGGGGCGTCTCCGCGAGGCGGGGATTTCGGGTCAGAAGGTTGTGATTCGGGTGTCGGGGCGGCGGTGCCACCGACACGCTGTGCCGTGGGAGCGGAGACCGTGTCGCTCCGCTCCGCGGGCGGGGAAGCTGGGAAAGGCTTGGGACGTTGACGCCTAAGGACTGCGACGTGGACAGCGTGCCGCGCCACCGCGTGGTGTGCTGCAAATGGCTGGGCGACGCGCTGAACCAACATTCGTGGCCGTATCCATCACCACCGCCTGAGGGGATCGATCTTCGGGGACTCGGCAGGCGGTGGATACTGCTACGCTCGGGCCCTGGGGGGTGCAACTATATCCACAATGATCCACCGCCTGCCGAGGTCCCCGAAGATCGATCCCCAGGCGGTGGCGATGGATAATGTCCCCGCCTCGGATTTTCAAGTGCGCCGGAGAGGGGGTGGCCAAGCCGAGGGGTGGGTAGCTAGGAATGCAAATATAAGTTAATCAATGTAAGCTTCCAGAAATTTGCGCGGGCCTCCGAAAGCTGGCGTTCATGATCATGTTTCGCTTCGGCTGGCGCTTCGTTGCCCGAGACATGTGCGCGCACGACGGGGGGGGGCAGTTTCCGTGCTGGCAGAAGGACATTGGGCCATGGCTTCTGCGAGATGTCATGGCCCCCGCCGTGACGTCCACACTGCCCTGCTCCTCACTCCCCTCCTCAGTCCTGGGCGTCCTCATCCTCTTCGCGGTCGTTCCATTTCGCTCGCTCTCCTCCCTCCCCCGGCTCCGGGTTCGTCCTGGTCCCTGGGTATCGTTCCCTCCTCTGCCCCCTGCTGCTGTTGCTCTTCCAGGTCGTCCACCATAGGGGCCATATGGCGGGCGGGGCGCACATAGGGCATATGTTCCAGCATCCCCGGCTCATGGCGTCGGCGACGCTGGGACGATTTGCACCCTCCGACCCCCGTATGGGTATGGACGTGTGTTGTTCGTCCTTGCTCTCCTCCATCCTCACTCCCTCGAGCTTTTTCCTCCTCGTCCTCCCTTGCAGTCCTGGGCCCCGCATGAGCCCGCCACGGCCGGCTTTTCGTCCTTCCGTCGGCTGCTGGAGGCCGCTTTTCCTGGCCCCGGGACCGTCAGGAAACGATTCTCGGCGGCGAGCCCGGGGAAGACGTGAGAAGAGGCTGGCCTTCTCAGAAGGCTCGGAAGACCGCCGGCCTCCTGAGAAGTGTCCTAAGCCTTCCCCGAGTACACAGGGAGCCTCTCAGAAGGCGCGAGGGCTTCTGAGAAGCCCCGCCGCCTTCTGGGAAAGCCGTTTCCTTCTCATTTCCCCCCCTCGCTCGCCGCCGAGATCCACGAACAAAAAAGCTGGCCGCCGGGAGAAGGCCGATTTCCCTGAGAGGGCCTCGCTCTTCGACGGATCGGCCACGCGCCCTCGGCGGATGCCGACAGAACCATGGGGAGGTTGGGCACGCACGACGGGGCCGGCCTGGGCCAGTGCTGGATATTCTCCTCTGGCCAGCCAAGACACGCTCGCGTCGTGAACCAAATCACGACGCAAGGTTTTTGGCCGTTGTCGGCCACCAAGGGCTCTCGCCGGGCCTCGGGACGGTCAGAAAACGACTCGGTATAAAAAACTGGCGCTGGGAGAAGGGTCGGGACTTTCGGGGACGCCGCTTTGCCCCAAGCAAAGATTTCACTTAGGTATTTTTGCTTCGCCACCCTAAATAATTCGCTGGGTCTGGCGGGGATTTGCCACGTTGTCGCCAGTTGCCGCCTCGTTGGCTGCCTCGTGCGAAGGGTGGGCCTGGCGAGGTTTCGCCACGTCGCCGCCCATTCCCTCCTCCTGCTTGCACCACGTAGATTCTCCGATCAACAGAACATAGGACCCCCCCTCCTGAGCCCAGACTTATCGAGCCCCTCTGGGATACGGCAACTCACGTATGCGTTTGCCTTATCGTTTATTATTGTCCATGTGAAACCATACCATCCCAGCCAACCCGGCATTGCGTCCCCACATCTACTTATCAAACAATACAGTGTGCGCGCACCCGGGTCTCCTGAAACAGCACGTTGCATGAAACCCTGCTAACAGGATACTCCGCACGCACCTATGCCGAAGTTCTGGCAGACACAATGAAGTAGCAAGCGTTTCAACATGAGCACAGCAAACACCCTGAATTAGTGCATCACAATGCTTGCAAGATTTCTGCCCGCGCGTATTTGCTGTCCCAGCACCCGCGTGGTCATCTCACCACGTGGTACGTCTGCGCTGATCTAGCATGGGCCCAGTGTGCAACTCCGTGCCGGTTAAGACCATACCGGCTGCACGTACTCGCCGCTACGCGCGCGCGCCGAATTTCTGACAACATCACTGGTTGTCAAAGCGTTTCAGCATGAAGCTCCTCAACACCATCAAAAACAACACAGTTTTCAACAACAGGTATGCCTGATGTCTTGACTGTCTGAGTGCACGCACTCTCCCACGATCACTCGCACCAGCGCCATCGCATCACCGCTGTTATCGTCATCGCTAATCGCCACCATTGCCGCCGTCATCAATCGATCACCTTCGTCACCACCACATGGACATCACCATCATCATCATCATCATCATCATCATCATCATCATCATCATCATCATCATCATCATCGTCATCAGCATCAGCATCAGCATCAGCATCAGCATCAGCATCAGCATCAGCATCAGCATCAGCATCAGCATCATCATCATCATCATCATCATCATCATCATCATCATCATCATCATTGTCGTCGCCGTCACCCGCATCGGCGCCGACTATGGCCGTGCCGTCGTCACAATCATCATCGCCACCACCATCGCTGATATCAACATCGTTGCAGACTATGCCAGCGTCATCATGATACCCCGCCCGCCCGAATCACCGACCCGCACTGACGTGCTCGCGCGCCGGCGCGGCCTCTGGGACGCGCTGGGACGTCGCCGTTGGGCAAGCGCCATCGCGGCCGCATCAGTTGTGCCAAACGAGCTGGCCGCTCTGCTCGCGAACTTGCGCGCGCCAGCACGGCCGCAGAGATGCGCCAGCCAGGGCCAAGCAGTCACCGCAGTCGTGGCCGCATGGGTTTTGCAAAACAGGTTCTGGGAGGGAGGGTGAGATGATCGCGCGAGCAGTGGAGTTGACAGCTCATGCGTTGGCAAATATAACCTGCACCAAATAGCTTGCACCACATAGCTCGCACCTCATGACTCACACATCCAGAGTGCAATAACTTACAGCTTGGGACCCACGCTGGCTGACATGACAAAAATAAAGGCATGGGATGTCTGGGCCTCGGAGGGATCCAGCAGGTCGCCGTGGATGCGAATGCGGTCGTAGAGGGGGCTCAGCAAGGGCATGTGCACAATCTCCACCCGCGCTGCCGCCAAGAGGCACTGCCCGAGCTCCGCCACGCCCATGCGCGGCACGTGCGGCCTCATCAGGAGAGGCTCCCGGGAGGGGGGGGGGGGTCGGACCACCTGAGGATGATGAACAACGTCCTGCACCCTTTACGTTGAGTTCTGTGAACGCCCCCCGCGTCCCGGATGTGACATTGGCGGGCTGCGCCGCGATGCGTCGACCTGTCCACTGGCCGAAATCCTGCGCCCCCTGGCGATGTGCCAACCACCATTGGATCGGGGGCAGGGGGCCCGTTGAAATTTTCGCCGGCACCCCGGTCGCGCGGGTGGTGCAGGATCTTGTCCATCAGCCGTCCCTCCCCCCAGACCTGCTGGAGGCTCCAAGAACAGAATCCCTCAACGCCACAAGACACCACTTTCTGAAAACACCTCAGAGGTACCTGAGGCACGGAGGGCCCAGTGTTCTCCTGCCTCCTCCTCCACCTCCGTCCTCCCTCCTCCTCCTCCTCCTCCTCTTACTCCTCTTCCTCCTCCTCCTCTTCCTCCTCCTCCTCCTCCTCCTCCTCCTCCTCCTTCTCTTCACCTTCGCCTTCCCCTCTCCGTCCACCGTTGCCTCCTCCTCCTCCTCCTCCTTCTCCTATTCATCAAACCTCTACTGCTCAACCAGCGGCGTCATCAACCACTCGTGCTCACCCGTCTTCTTGACGTGTGTGTGTGTGTGTGTGTGTGCGTGTGGCGGCAACAGTGCTGGGGACGTGCCAGCTTCTCTTCTTTCTAGAGCAGACGCAGGGCTGGCAGTGACCACCAGCATCAGAAGGATTATGAGGAGTGTTGGGGGGAAGAGGAGGAAGAGGAGGAGGAGAATAAGCAGAAGGATGAGGATGAGGATGAGGATGAGGATGATAATGAGGATGAGGATGAGGATGATGATGCTGATGATGATGATGGTGATGATGATGATGATGATGATGATGGTGATGGTGATGGTGATGATGATAATGATGGTGATGATGATGATAATGATGATGATGATGATGAGGAGGAAGAGGAGGAGGACAGGGAGGAGCAGGAGAAAGGAAAGGACCAGGAGGGGGAAGGGGGAACAGGAGGAGAAGGCGATGGAGCAAGAGGGGGAAGGAGGAGGAGGAGGAGGACGAGGAGGTGGAGGAGTAGGAGGAGGAGAAGGAGGAGGAGCTCGGAGGAGCAAGAGCGCACGTAACTCATGAGGGCATGGTTACGTCATCGACTGGCGCAGATGGCCAGCTTAGTGGCACGCAAAAGCCTCAGGTGGGCCTCAAGGTCGCCACAACGGGAGGGCGAGACCTCATGCTCTGCTTTGAGCTCGTTGTAGAAGTGAAAACCTAGCACGACTAGGCGATGAGTGGTCTCGCGGGTGACCTGCGGATCATAATCAGCATCGAGGCCGGGGCCGAAACGCGCCAGGGGGCATGAGGGGAGGAAGAGCCTCGGACGGGCGAGGAGGTGGAGGAGACGAGGGCAGAACTGGTAATGAGGCCAGCGATCGAGACCGTCCTCGCACCCTAACAGGCAGCGGCGCTGGCCCAGAACGGGCGTACGACCTGAGGTGACCCATCCCCCTGCGAGAGTCTTGACGTGGGCCCAAACCCAGCTGGGCTTGGACCGGGAGAGTACACCCCGGAGCAGGGCCCAACGATGGGCCATATCCCCCAGCGGGGGAAGGGGCACGTCAGGGAGCCAGGCCCTCAACCTTCGAAGGGAGAGAAGGGGGAGAACGTCGGGGAAGGCGAGGCGGGTGAGGGCCTGGGCGAAGGCACGCTGGGGCCTCGGGCGGCGAGAGGCGATCGCAGCGGCGGCCAATTCCTTCGTGCCAGCAGAGACGGCATCGCGTAGCTGATCTAAACGAAGCGAATAGCGCGGCACACAGTCCAGGGCCGAAACGAGAAACTGAGCGATACTCTGTTGCCGCTGCCAACTCGAAAGGGCTCCATTCCTGGCGAATGTATCTGACCAGCGGCCCATTCCACACTGCGCATTCCCCTAGATCGTAAGAAAGTGTCCGAACCCTGGTGACATAAGTGTGAGCCGCAAACCTCCATGCCGAGGCGCAGGCAAGAACAGCCATCGACGCTGGGCCGGGACCGGGGATCCAGGCATTCAGAGACAGCAGCTCGGATCGTTTGAACACGTTCGGGGGCAGACGAAGCAACTTATGAACAAGCCGGGGCTCCGTGGAGAGGAGGGGAGGGGGGAGGGGAAAGAACTGACAGAGGTAGGAGAGGACGGAGAGGATCGAGGAATTGTAGGAGCGGCAAGAGGCCTCCGACGGCGACCGAATCGCTGCAACAAGACGGATCCGGAAGCATTGTTTTGATGCCGCCGCCTCCCACTGTGCCTCGAGGGTGGCAGCAGGACCAGACAGGATGCCGAGATACTTGGCGAGGCCAGCGATGGCGAAGGAGGAGAAGGAGGGAGCGATAGCAGAGAGGAGAGCAGTGAGAGCAGAAACAACAGCGGCACAACATACGGTCCACAGTGGGACCACCACGAATTGTCGAGGCTGCGAACAGAGGCATGCAAGGCGGCGCGCAGCCCGGAACACGGGCTCAAGCCGGGCAGCCTGGCTCAGACAAGGTAGAACAACACCAACATCGTCGGCGCACGCCCCATCATCCAGATGATCATCCGGCGGTTCACTGGTGTCGATGCCCTCGGAGATGCGGTGCAGGAAGGCGTCGAAACACAATGCCCACAGAGTTCCGGACAGAGGGCACCCCTGAGCAACTCCAGCAGAAACCTGGAATAAGTAGCGAAGTTCGTCACCAAACCAAGCACTGACCTGCAAGTCGTGGTACAAAGCCCAGATAACGCAAATGTAGCCAGCCGGCAAAGAATGGTGGAGCAAGACGGCTGCCATCCACTGCCAATTTATGGATGGGAAAGCGCCCTGCACGTCGTACGAGATGAAGCAGGGCATGCGGTCAGCGGCATCCTCGTGTCCTCCCGCACCTCTGGCAGCGGCATCCAAGTCCACAGTGTGTGAAGTAAATTGGCGATCGCGTAGAAAACATTTTTGTGAGCGATGGCAGCGCCGTTCAGCAACATGTCGAAGGTGAGAACTGATCGTGGATGCCACGGCCTTCGAGGCGCTGTTCTTCAAAGTGAGCGGCCGCAGAACGTCAGGGGAGCGCGCCACATCCACCAAATCCTCAGGCTGTGCGTCCTTCGGAATGGGACACATCAAAGAATGGTTGAAGCCTGGCGGCGATCCCCGGCCGCTGAAGATGTCCAATACTATCAAATACAAAGTTTCAACTGCATCCTCGTTCGCCAACCGAGCGCGATACGGGAGGCGATCAGGACCAGATGCGCTTGCCCTGCCAAGACGGAGAGCACGCCGTAGGTCAGCCTTCGACGGGAGAGGTAGCAGAGGACGTTCATAGCGAGGGAGGTGCAGAGCGAGATAAGGTGAGATATCATCAGCAGGAACAGCTTTGGCTTGGAAAACACGAGCCCGATGATGAGACAGAGCAGCAGCCATGTCAGCAGGATCTCGAGCCACCCTGTCATCGGCAGGAGGCGGTGGGCGTACACGGTCGTCGGACTCGGGAAAAAACGAGAATCCGTCGTAACGGCGGCGCTCGCCGTGACTGCAGCACGTCCGCTCGCCCCCTCATCTCCTCCAACAGCTGCACCATCACCGTCCTGATCATGGCGAAGGCCTCCTGTCGTAACGGCAGCCGGGCGCGGTCGAGCGTCAGCGTCGTCGCCAAGGCCCGTCAAACTCCAAGACCAGATCCACAGTATGGCCAGCATTGTTATGCCGAGTGCCGTTCAGAATCAGCTGCTTCCTCATGGGCGCCCATAGTCGAGCGCGGCGTTGAGATGTGGCCTGCACCTTTCGCCATTGCTCACGACTGAGACCGGCGTCCTCGCGAGAGAACGGGTTGCCAGCACGGGCGTCTGCGGCAGCGAGGTGTTGTTGATTTTGATGCAATTGCGTATTGACCGTGCAGACCAGATCTCGAAAGTCCGCACCGTTGACAAGGTGAACAGACTCGCCATCAAGATGGAGAAAACGTGGACCATACGTGGATGTGTTGATGAAGGTGGTGGCCAAGGTGAGGTCCTGCTGCCAAATCGCCCTGGCGATGCTCCGCAACGTGAGCCGTCGACTGTCCTCAGCCCCTTCCGCGCTAGAGGTGATAGGGAGGCGTTGAAGGCGGTCCCGAACCACAGCAGCAGCACGCACCATCAGATCTTCTGTGAGCGCCCAGCGGTCGTACGATCTCAACGCGTCCCAGGTCACGCAACACATGTACTGGTTAAGAACTTCAGGGTAATGGCGAGAACGAAAGACAAATTCTGGGATGCCTCGTTCATGTTGAGCGCGGGGCCGACGAGGACGCAACGTCAGCGACAGGATAGCGTGATCGCTCAAGTGCCAATCGGCGAGCCGGGTTGCCTCCTGATGCACGGTTAGAGACGTTTCCGTTTCCAGGAGGAAGGCCGGTGAAAGCGAGACGAATGCCCTGTCGAGCGTGCTGCAAGTCTCCGTGTGACGACAGTAGTGAATCGGCAGCGTTGAGGTGATCTCCACCACCCCGTGGTCGAACAGAGCTCTCCAAAATGGCTGATGATGTTGACCACGGTCCTCCACGTGTCGACGAGCCGCAGGACGAAGAAGGGAATCAGGGGCCACGTCGGAGACGTTGAAGTCGCCCAATGAGAAGAAAATGCGGTGATGCTCATCATCAGCAGCAGCCCATCGCGTGCAAGTGTGCTAAAACCGATGAACAAGCTGTCGATGAGCAGGGGAAAGATCATGATTGTGAACGTTGAGGAGACGAACTTCCTGACCGTGTCCGCGAATGTGGAGTCCGAGGATTCGGCCGTCAACCAAACGTTTGAGGGTAAACGTAGGGAGCGACCCAGGCGGTAGCCGATGAAGCTGGTCGTGACTGTACCAGGGAACGAGAACAGCAACGCCACAACCTGAAAAAAGTATTGTACTCGTACGGGCACTGCCGGAGAAGGAGTTCAATGTCATGAACAGAGCCATGCACTTCCTGGAGTAGTATGATAGCCCTAGCTTTTAAACATCTTTCCAATCTCGCCATCTTGGAGCGTCGTGAAGAAGAGCGCTGGCAGCACAAACCACGCGCATTCTACGTGATGACCTGCGACTGGTCAGAAGGACGAGGAGCTTCCAAAGACGAAATAAGCCAAGGGCTACCCCAGTGGTTAGGACCACGACCAATTGCTGGTGTCGTAGCCCGCGTAAGCGCGCTGGAAAGCGCTGTCGATGGCCTCCCGGTCGATGTTGAGCTCGGAGGAGCAAGAGGAGGAGGAGGAGGAGGAGGAGGAGGAGGAGGAGGAGGAGGAGGAGCAGGAGCACAAGCAGCTCCTCCTGCTCCTCGGGTGGAGGATGAAGAAGGCAGCGGGCGCAAGCGAGAGCCTCAGCGCGCTCATCAGCTGCAGCGTCTCCGGCTCGGAGAATGCCAGCAGCTTCGGGCCGGCCATGAAGCAACCCAGCAGGGGCGTCGTGCCCAGGCCGTCCAGCTGCTCGAGGATCCTCGGGGCGTCTCGGAGGGCCCTGGAGCTCGCTGGCAGCTCGCTTCGGCTCGGACTGTGCGCGAGGCACCCACGTCTGCAGCTTCTGGGGAGTCTTGCTCCACGCCCCCAGGGAGGCGGCGGATACGGAGAGCTCCCCGACCCCCCCAGGGGCGGGCGGATTTGGTGTACGGCGCGCCGCCCCTCCCATTTTTCTTTTCTTAGAGGCAAGGTTTTTTGTTGTTTTTTGGTTTTTCGTTTTTGTTCGTTTGATTCCTCAGCGCGACTTTGGGAGGGGGTGCGCCACCCCGAGGGCGGACAGGGACCCGGTCTGACACAGGTGCCTCCTCCCCTCCCCTGCGGGTGTGAAGTCAGGGGTGCGGGCGGAAAGGTGGTGGACGAAAGGAGGGAGGGGGTGACGAGACGAAGGGTTGGGGTACGTGTCGATGCATCGTGGTGTTGATTCGTCGACGTCTTGATGCGTTAATGCATTGATTACATTGATGCGTTGGCGCCAAGACACCTCAATGTCTTATCTTGATGTCTTGATGCATTGATGCCTTGATGGCATTATGGTTTGAAGCATCGTCCCCCTCCAACTTTGGGGGACGAAGAAACCCTATGAACCATCCCATTATTCCCTGGGGGTCCTAGGAACCCTGGGTCCTGGATCAGGTATCCACGTCCACCGCTCCCCGAGATCTGCAGAAGAAACAGCTACATACGCAGAAATATTCGGAGGTCCGCGCAAGTTTCTTGGATGGGCGCTGAAACCCCCACCCTGGCGCGTCGAGCGCGTCAGGGGCGGCGCTGGAACCGTCCTCGAGGGTTCCAGCGCCCATCCAAGAGATCCGCGCGGACCTCCGAAAGCCTGCGGTTGGTAACTTTTGCTCGACGTGTCGCGGCGGAGGCCCTGGCGATACACGGTGCTTTGCAAGCGGATGGCGTGTCACTTCGCTCCGCGGGGCATGAGGCTCGGGAAAGCTCGGGACGCAGACTCCTGGGGATGGGGATAGCGTGTCGCGCCGAAACGTAGTGGGCCAGAACCCACGGAGGGACAAGTGAACCACACGTTCCAGATCGCATGCTGATGCAATTTGTCCTTCTCCGAGCTCGGGGGCTCCACCGCGCAGACCACCAGCCCCGGGAGAGGAGGCGGGCGAGGACCTGCTGTCGCTCGGGCGCCCCTTCCCCGCGCGTTCTTCGGCTTCGTGCGTGGATGTTGCCGCGCGAAGCTCCAGAAGGCGCCCCGGGGGTCCTCGCCCGAGGAAAAGAAGGCACACGCCCGAGCGATGCCGAGAGGAGGGCGAGAGGGCCGGGAGGCAGACCCCGGCGGCCGCCTCCGTGCCCCCGGGCCCCTCGGGGTCGCCGGGCCCCGCGGGTTCGAGCCTGGGGGCGCGAGAATGCGGAGCGGTGGTCGTGCACTCCGAGCCTCACAGCACAACGGGGGGTGGTCCGATTTTCTCCCAACCATCCTGTGGAGTTGGGTCGTCGTTTTGAAGAGACGGTGCCCCGCGTTGCTCTCCTCTCCTCCTCCCCTCCTCCCTCCCCTTCCTCCCTCCTCTCCCTCCTCCGTCCTCTCCGCGTTTCGCCCACCCAGCACAGCGCTTCGTGGCCCCATAGGGAGCTCCACCGAAGGCCCCATTGGGGGCGCGAATGCGAAGCGGTGGACGTGCACTCCGAACTTCGCAACGCAACGGGGGGTGGTCTGATTTTTCTTTGGGGGGGTCGTTCCCGCTTTCGTTCTGCTTTCGCCTGCCCTCGTGGCTGTTTTCGCTCCTCGTCTTTGCTGCAGAACGAGATCGAAACGAAAACGGTCCACGACATCGCCAGACGGTCTACGGTCGCCCGAACGGTCGGGGGTGGTCCGATTGAGGGGCTTGATTTGAATTGTGTTGGAGGGTTCCGCAAGGTCTGGGCAAGCAAACGCCCTTTCATGGCCAGCCTGCGGGGGGGGATCTGAACTTGCTCGTCTGGGAGGGTTGTGCCCCCCTCCCTTATACGACGAACTTTGGAGCAGACGCACCCGTGAATCAGGGCTCGAGCTAAACAGTGATTTTCGTTTTCGTTCTGTCCTCGTCTTCCCTCGTGCTTGTCTTCATCCCGCCCCTGCTGCAGAACGAGATCGAAACGAAAACGGTCCACGAGATCGCCAAACAAGTGTTTGGATCGCGGTCGTCCTCCCCGGTCCCTCCCGCCATCTTGTGCGCGCCTCGCCGCTCCCAATCGCCTCTCTGAGCTCCGACCGCACCGGACACGCGACATCGCCGGCCCCCGCGGCGGAAAGACCGTGCAGGCACACGACCCGGCGATGGGCCCGAAAAAACCAGAGACACACACAGAGACACACACACAGAGACACACACACAGAAACACGAAGACACAGCCACACACACAGACACACACACACACACACATATACACGCAGACACGCACAGACACACACAGAGACACCCACAGAGACACCCACAGACACACACAGAGACACACACACAGACACACACACACAAACACACACACAAACACACACGCCAGACACACACAGACACACACACAGACACACACAGACACACACACAGGCACACACACAGACACACACACACAGACACCCACCCACAAACACCCACACACAGGCACACACAGACACACACACACAACCACACACAGACACACACAGACACACACACACACACGCAGACACACACACAGAGACACACGTTCAAACACACGCTCAGACACACGGACACACACATGCACACACAGACACACTCAGAGACGCACACCCTGAGACACACAAATAGACACACACAGAGACACACACACAGAGACACACAAACAGAGACACACACAGAGATACACACAGGGACACACACAGAGACACACAGAGACACACACAGAGACACACACAGAGACACACACAGAGACACACACACCGACACACACAGAGACACAGAGATACACACACAGACACACACAGAGACACACACACAGAGAAACACACACAAAGACACACACAGAGACAGACACAGACACACGCACACACAGAGACACACGGAGAGACACACACACACAGAGACACACACACACACAGACACACACGGTGACAGACACACAGAGACGCACACACAGAGACACGCACACAAAGAGACACACACACAGAGATACACACACAGACACACACAGAGACGCACACAGAGACACACACAGAGACACACACACAGAGACAAACACAGAGAGACACACAAACGCACACACACACACCGAGACACACACACAGACACGCAAACAGAGACACACACACACAGACACAGACACACACAGAGACACACACACAGAGACACACAGAGACACAACACACATCACACATCACACACACAGACACACAGACACACAGACACACAAACACACACACAGTAACACACACACAAACAGACACAAACAGACACAGACACACACGCAGAGACAAATTCACACACAGACACACGCAGCAACCACACAAACACACAAAAACACGCACACACGCACACGCACACACGCACACACGCACATACACAAACGCACACACAGACACACATAGAGACACACACAGACGCACACAGAGAGACACACACAACACACACAGACACACACGCAGACGCACACAGAGACACACACAGACACGCACAGACACACACAGAGAGACACACACAGACACACACAGAGACACACACAGAGACACACACACACACATAGAGACACACACAGAGACCCACACAAATATACACACATAGACACACACTCACAGAGCGACACACACACCAAGACACACACAGAGACACACACACATACACACACAGAGACACACACAGAGACCTACACAGAGACCTACACAGAGACACATACAGAGACATACACACAGAGGCACACACAGAGATACACCCAGACACACACACAGAGACACACACAGGGACACACACATAGAGACACACAGAGACTCACACACAGAGACACAACACACACAGACACAAAACAACACACAACACACACACAAACACACAAACACACACAAACACACGCACACACACAAACACACAATCACACACAAACACAACCACACAAACACGCACACACGCACACACGAACACACACACACACACGCACACACACGCACACACACACACGCACACGCACACACGCAGACACACCTGCGTGGCGCACTGGCCTCGACAGAAGAAGGCCACACCAGAGGGGCCAGGAGGCTGGGGGAGCGCCCGGCAGGGCCGAGCGAGAACGGCCCTGTCTGAGGTCTTTGGAGCCTGGAGCCTCGAGGGAATGCCCTTCGACTTCTGGAGCAGGCTTCGATGCCTGAGATCGTAGGGTCCGAACAAAAACACGTTTCGATGTCCGAGATCGCAGCGTTCCGATGTCTGAGATCGTAGCGTTTCGATGTCTGAGGTCGTAGTGCTTTTCGACTTTTTGAACGGGTTTCGTCGTCTGAGATAGTAGCGTTCGAACAAGCACACATTGGTAGCGTAGATCGTAGCGTATCTGAGATCGTAGCGTAGATCGTAGCGTTCGAGAAACAGAGAGAGGCGGCACGGATGACATGACTCAGGAACACTGCGCGGCACATCAGGCCTGGTTCGCGCAGTGGGGCGGAACATGGGCGCATCGAGGGAGGACCTCTCCCCCTCCTCGGTGCCCAGGGCCTATCCAGATCAGGGCCGATGGTCAGCTGGGAGGCCCCGCCCTTCTCCTCTTGAGGGGGCCCACGGGCCGCCAACCAGGGCTCTCCTCCTCGTCCTCCTCCTCCTCCTCCTCCTCTCCTCCTCCTAGGCCTCCTCCTCGTCGTCCTCCTCCTCCTTGAAAACGTCGGCCGCGGACCTCCCCTGGAACGCACCCCGGCGAGCATGCCGAGGCGGATCCAGCTGTGGCGTCGAGGGCCCCCTGGGAAGCCCGGAGGAGCAAGAGTTAAGTCGGGCCTGTCCCTCTACTACAGGAGGGATATTCAAAAATAGTAAAACAATAGTCTGGGGACGATTTTTAAATTATCTTTGAACATGTTTGGAATACTTGCTGAACATGTTTTATTCTTCGCCCAAAACCCCTCTGTAGGGGGACAGGCCCGACCTAAAGCAAGAGATACCTCTGCGACCGTCCTGCGGGTGACAAGGAGGCTGTGGTGGTGGGGGGGTCAGCTGATGACAACTGCGATGATTTTGTGGCGAGTGTGATGCCACGAGATCTGGGGATGGGACAACCTGCCAGGTGAAAACCGTCCTGATAACCACCGGGGAGCCAGCTGAGCATCAAGGTGGCATTTGTTTGCCCCAAGAGCTCCCCCTCGGGCAACAGTCTGCGAAGTGTCAGCCGTCCTAATAACCACCAGAGAACCCGTTGAGCATCACGGTGGCATTTTTTCTCGCGGGGCGGAACGGCGTAGCCGCTTGCAGAGCAAACTACATATACATTGAATTGGTATGCGTGACTGCGGGACAACCACAGGACCATTGACAGACCATTGGGGCAGCATCGGCGCACCATCGGAACGCCATCGGGAAAAGCACCTGAAGACACGGCGGGGACAAATAAATGACACCATCGGGACACCATGTCGACACCACCGGGAAACCATGTGGACACCATCGGGGCACCATTGGGACATCATCGGTGTACCCTTGGGACAGCATCGAAACAGCATCGGGACACCGTGTGGACACCATCGTGACACCATCGGTGCATCATGGTGACACACACCATCGGGGCACCATCCGGACACAATGTAGACACTATCGGGACAACATGTGGACCCCATCGCGGCACCGTCGGGACACCATCGGAACACCGTCGGGGCACCATGTGGACATCATCTGGACACCATGTCGACACCACCAGGACACCTTGTGGACACCATCGGGGGACCATTGGGACACAATCGGGGCAGAAAAAGAAACACCACCGACACATCATCGGGACACCGCCGGAACACCATGTGGACATCATCTGGACATCATCAGGACACCATCGATCTCACTACCGCCGGCCTCACCATCAGTCTCGCTATGGATCTCACTGTCTATCGCACGATCTGCGTATCGATCTCACTATCGGTCTCACTGTCGATCTCACTATCTGTTCTGCTATCAATATCACTATAAATCTCGCATCTTTTGCTCGGTCTCAATATCGGTCTCACTTTCGATCGTACTATCGTTTCCGCTACGATCTCACTATCGATATCACTATCTGTTTATCGGTCACATTATCGGTCTCACTATCGACCTATCGTTCTCGCAATCGCGCGCACTATCGCACTATCGGCCTTAATATCTGCTTATCGATCTCACATTCGATATCACCACCGGCCCCTCTATAAACCTATCAATATCACTATCCATCGTTTTCACAATCTGTACCATCGGGACACCATCTGGACTCCATCGGGGCATCATGCGGGCATCATCGGGACACCATCAGGACATTGTTGGGGCACCATTAGGACACCGCCAGCCAACCAAGGGGAGGGCACACCATTATGTTGCCCGGCAACGAAACACCCCTGGGCCACCGCCGGCCAACCGGGGGGAGAGCACAACATCATTCGGCTCGGTTTCGCCCTATCAACGGCTTGCTCATTCGTCTCCGCTGCCGCGCACGCAGCTTCGCCTCGCCCGCACGCGCGAGATGACCACGAAACCGAAACCGATTTCCCGGTAGGTGGTCTCCGTTTCACTTAGATCTCACCCCCCAACCTCCGTTTCAATCTTCCTCCCGACCTCCTCTCCCTTCCTCCCCAGACCTCCGAAATAACAATCTTTTCGTGACCCTCCCGCAAGCCTCTTGACTCTTGACCCCAGCCACAGGACCGGTTGCTTACCCCAGGTGGTTGTTGGTCTTTGTCAAGAACCCCCCAAAACCGAATCTGAAGAAGCGACAGCCGTTATTCTCTTTCGGTGACGCCTGCGGCCTGGCCACCTTGACGCGCCAACCTCGAAATCACCCACTGGAGTGAGTTCTCCAAAAGATGTCAAAGCGGACCTGGCCGTCACACCAAGGGCGCCCCATGGGGGCGCCAAGACGACACAACCGCGTCCGACACCCTCGCTCCTCGGGTCTGCCCCTCCTCCTCCTCCTCCTCCTCCTCCTCCTCCTCCTCCTCCTGCTGCTCCCCAGACCTCCGACGTTGTGATTTTGTTCGCAGCGCCGACCCGTGGAGGTCTGGACCCTGACCACCCCAGCACCGAGCCTTGTCATCCCAAGCCGCAGGGGGCCCCAGAAGCCGAAAGTGGCCTCCTGCGGGCCTTTCTTGCCACGTCGCGAGGGGGTCTGAGCCCCCCCACCCCCCTCTTCCTCCTCGCACATAGTTCGGGGTCCCCCTCCTCCTCCTCCTCCTCCTCCTCCTTCCCCTCCTTCTCCCTTTCCTCCCGAGAGTCCTGAGCTTCAGGCCAGGAGCCAGCTCGTGGCGCTCCAGGTCAGACATCGTGGCGGTTCGCGAGCAAGCCAGCACCACGTTCGCGAGGTCCTGCCCACGAGGGGATCAGAAGGGAGGCGGGGAAGGAGGAGGGGGAGGGGGATCGAGGGGGGGAGGAGACGAAGAGGCAGAAGGACGACGAGGATAATGAGGAGGAAGAGGAGGAAGACGAGGAGGAGGAGGATGAGGAGGAGGAGGAGGAGGAGCATGAGGAAGAGGGGCTGCAGAGGGGGAGGGAGGCGCGGGAGGACCGAGGGAAGGACGCAGGAGGATGAACGGGGGGGGGGGTCAGCAGGCCCTGCCCACTTCCACCCTCCCTCCCGTAACATGAAATCCAGTCCTGTCGCAACCTGATATTGGGACTGGCCGGCGCCCCCACGTAGCGAACGGAAGGCGCTCGCGCGAGGGGGAACAGGCACGGGCCGCGCACGGGCGGGAGGGGAACTTGCAGAGAGCTCTGTCGCGGTCCTGCGGCGAGGGCACCTCTCAACCATCTCTCGCGCGGCCGAACTTCCGAAGCCAGCGGCGAGGACAGAGCATGCGCCGCGCCGAAGCACCGCTGCCATCTTCATGGGAAATCTGCGCTGTGCGCGTGCCACACAACGTGATGCCCGCTCGTGCGCGGAACCCAGGCAGCGAACCTAACGCCGACGACTTGGTGGCGTCGTCCCTGTCCCAGCGGCGGCTGGGGTGGCGACTGGATCCGCCCGCCTCGAGCGCGGCAGGGCTTGCTCGGCCGCTACGTGGCAGAGTGTGATGGATTGTATACCAATAAGGAGCTAGATCCATCGCACGCGCTTCGCGCGCGTGCGCGCTCAAGTTCTACCTGTCTTGGCACCACCTTGCGCACAACACTCCACGAAAGACCGTGCCCGAAGAAGCTGAAGCCATCGCTTTCGATGCCGAGAGCACGACTCGCGTTAGTTCTCGGGGCAGGGTGAGGGGATGATGATGATGATGATGATGATGATGATGATGATGATGATGATGATGATGATGATGATGATAATGATGATGATGATGATGATGATGATGATGATGATGATGATGATGATGATGATGATGATGATGATGATGATGATGATGAGGATGAGGGGAAATATGCGCGGAACGTGGACCAGGAGGGTGGGGAGGAGGATGAGGAAGGTGGGACAAGAAGGAGTGGTGGGGACGGGCAGGTGGGGTGCTACTTCTCCTCTACTCCTTTCTCTTCCATTTCTCGACCATCCTCATCGTAACCCATGGCGGGCCTCTCGCGCGGCAAACTCAGGGATGTCTTCGGGCCCCCTGGGTCTCTTGACACCTTTTGAAGCCATCTTAGGACCATCCTGGGCACTCTGGGACTCTCGTGGGGTCGTCTTGGAGCTTTCCTGGGACATCTCAGTCGCCTGCGGGCTATCTTTCATTTTTGGGGCCGTCTTGCGCTGTCTTGGGTCCTGAAGCTCGATAGCGCGAACAGTTCGGAATCACTTGAAAACCTAAGTTGAATCACGATTTTGGCTCATGGAATCCCTCTTGGAGGTTCTCGTGGGGCCCGCTGGGGGCGTCTTGGGGGCCTCTTGGGCAGTCTTGAAACCATTTTGAACAAATTTGGGCCGTTCCTAGGTCCTCTTGGGAACATCTTGAACCGTCCTGTGCCCGTCTTGGGCAGACTCGGGACCCTCTTGAACCGCTCTGGGATGCATTGGAACCGGTTTGGGGCTATCTGGCGGCCTGGGGCCCGCCCCCCCCCCAACCCGCAACGGCGTAGTTTAAATAACTATATTTGATGATTGGATCTTGCAATGCAGCTTTCCACATACTGCAACATCTGGGCTGCATCCCATACGTAGTACCGCATATATTGCATAACTACACGTGTAGCACCATCAATGTAGCACCATCTAGGTTACATCTCATATATTGCGCCACACACATGTTTACATACATATACAAGCTAGAACCATCGCGCGCGCTTCGCGCGCGCTCAGGTTCTAGCCCAGGCCGTGGGAGCGCTGGACGATCTTGGACAACGCTATCAAGCACAGGCGCGCGACGGCATCTGAGGAGCTTCTGGGGTGTTCCGCATGCTTCGTCAACTGGCTGTTGGAGGCACCTCTTGGGTGCTTCTTGGGGGGGCGTCTGAGGGTCCCTTGGGGGCATCGGTTCTGCAATCTGAAGCCGTCATTGGCCGTCTTGGCTGCGTGGAGGCCCGACTTGAGGCCACCTGCGGCCAGATTGAGGCAATCCGGAAGCCTCCCGGGGGCCTCCGGGAAGCAGTTTTGACGCATCGAGGGCACTCTTGGGCTGTTTTACAGCCTCTTGGACGTCTCCTAGGGGCCTTTTAGGCCCTCGGGAAGCTTTCGGGGTCCTCGTCGGACCACTTGGGGGCCTCTTGCAGCCTCCTGTGGGCCTTGTGGGGGGACCGCTCTGCTGTTGGGTCGCGTTCCCCTTCTTGGGCCTCTCTTGGGGCTCCTGGGGCCCTCTCGGGCCGTCTTCGGCGCCTCAAGCACTGTCTTGGGGCCCTCGCGGGCCGTCTTGGGGCCCTCTTGGAGGCCTCTTACTCTATATGGGAGCGGTATTGGAAGCCTCTTGGGCCGTCTTGGAGCATCGGGATGCCAAAAGGCAGAACAAAAAATAAAACCCGTCAAAGCCCACTCGTAAAACAATGAGTTGTGCCTCTTGGGGCCACCTTCAGGAGATCTCTTGGAACCTCGTCGGCCCTCTTGGGAGCTTCTTGGGGGCCTCTTGGATCCGGTTGGGAGCCTCTGGGGACTTCCCGAGAACCTCTCGGGGTAGAAAGCTCGGATTCTCGGTTCGTATTTCCCTTCTTGGGCCTCTCTTGGGGCCGTCTTGGGGCCCTCTCGGGCCGTCTTGGGCGCCTCAGGCACCGCCTTGGGGCCCTCGTGGGCCGCCTAGGGCCCTCTTGGAAGCCTCTTCGGCTATCTTGGAGCTGTCTGGGAGGCCTCTTTCTCCTCCTCGTCCCCCTCCTCCTCCTCCCACTCCAGCTCTCTCTCCTCCTGATCTTCCTCCACCTCCTGCAGCGTGTTCCGGAAGGCTCCCGCGGGAACATGCTGTGCACAAGTGCTGTCACTGCTCCCGCCACCGTACCCTGGGTGGTGGGTCAGAGGCCTCATGGGTGTTGGTTTGGATCTCGTGGTTGGCCTGTCGGGGACGTCGTGAAGGCAGTTTCGCAGCTTCTCGGTAGCCGTTTTGGGACCGTTGTGGGGCCTCCTCGGGGCTGTTTTGTGGCCTCTTTAGGCCTCGTTTGGGCCTCCTGGGTGCCTCTTGGGGGCCTCCTGGGGCCTCTTGGGGGCTCCTTGGGGCCTCCTGGGGCACTCTTCAAGCGGGAGGGTCGAATTTTGGAGTCGTGGTCCCCCTCTTGGGCGCATCTTGGGGCCGTCTTGGGGCTCTGTTGGGCTGTCTTGGGCGACTCTGGGGCCGTCTTGGGGCCCTCTTGGGCCGTTTTGGGGCGCTCTTGGGGGCCTATTGAGCCGTCTTGGAACGTCGGGCAGCCGAAAAGACTGGAAGGCCAAAATCGTTCGAAAACCATTGTAAAATTGACGATTCTGGCCTCTTGAAGCGCTCTGGAGAGGCGTCTTGAATCGTCGTGGAGTGCCTTGGGCGGCCTCTCGGGCCGTCTTGGGCCTATCTTGGGGGTCCTGGAGCGGTCTTTCGGCGACTCGGGGCCCGCTTGGGCCGTCTTGGGAGCCTCTGGAGGCCCTCATGGACTATTTTGGACCTCCCCGGCCGCCCCGTCCTCCCATTTCGGAGGCGGCGGCCTCCGAGGCCCAGGACGCGGAAACCCTTTAAAAACAAAGGGAAAATGAGCCCCGGTACCCATGGAGGCTCTTCGGCGCTCTTGGACCGTTGGAAACTCGAAAACGCGAGAAGCCAAAAACATTGAAAAGACAATTGAACATACACGACTTTGGCCTCTTCGGGCCGTACCATGATACCTATCAGACTTCTTAGGGTCTCTTGGAGGCCACCTGGGAGCCTCGAGAGCCGTCGGAAGGCTGACTTGGGCTGCTCGGGAGCGTCTTGGGCCATCCTTTCGCATTCTGGGGGCTCCTGGGGGGCGTCTTGGGCCCTCCTGGAGCGCTGTGGAGGCTGCCCGGGAAGGCTGGGGCAGCGGTGCCGGGAGCGTCCCCGAGATGTGGCCATATCTTTTCAGCGCGTTCCGAGAGCATCTTCCCGGAACGCGCTCGTGGCAGGGCGCCCACGTCCGAGGACGTTGGCATGGGAAACCGCAGCGCGTGATCATTCCAGCGCGTTCCGGCGAAGACCGTCCGGAACGCGCTTGGGCAAGCGCTGGGTTTGGGGAAGGCAAGTGGGAACCGTTCAGGCAGTTTGGGATGCTCGGGGCAAGAGGCGGAAGCCATCCTCATAAGACATGCAGTCTTCCTGGAGCCGTCTTGCAGAAAACACACGAAAAATGAGACCCTGCAGTCGTTCCTGGAGCCGTCTTGGAGCCCTCTTGGGCTGCCCTGGAGCCTGTTGGAGCCCTCTGCGAAATGGTCTTGGAGCCCGCGCCGAGGATCTGGAAAATGTCCGGGACCATCGCGGCGGCCTCCGAGGCCCGGGACGCCGAAACCCCGTAAAAACACAGCGAAAATGAGCCCCGGTACTCCCATGGAGGGTCGGGCAGCTGTTTTCGGGCCCCTGGGCTAGAACCATCGCGCGTGCTTCGCGCGCGCTCAGGTTCTAGCCCAGGCCGGGGGGGTGCTGGACGATCTTGGACAACGCTATCAAGCACAGGCGCGCGACGGCATCTGAGGAGCTTCTGGGGTGTTCCGCATGCTTCGTCAACTGGCTGTTGGAGGCACCTCTTGGGTGCTTCTTGGGGGGGCGTCTGAGGGTCCCTTGGGGGCATCGGTTCTGCAATCTAAAGCCGTCATTGGCCGTCTTGGCTGCGTGGAGGCCCGACTTGAGGCCACCTGCGGCCAGATTGATGCAATCCGGAAGCCTCCTGGGGGCCTCCTGGAAGCAGTTTTGACGCATCGAGGGCACTCTTGGGCTATTTTAAAGCCTCTTGGACGTCTCCTAAGGGCCTTTTAGGCCCTCGGGGA